TCCGCACATTGCAATGGGGGCTTTTGGTTTGGCTGGAGCCTCGGATGATCTGCTTTTCCTTGTGCTGACCTTCTTGATATACTTTAGAGCAGTGGAACATGACTTGCAATGATCTTGTTCAGCAGAAGAAGGCTTTATCACTTCACAGTCCACTGACCGAAACACTACTGTCACTTCAAAGCGGTTCCCGTTATCATTCAACATAACCTTCGGTCATCTGGCAAGCCATTACATAGTACAGACTGTTCAATGGTTTGCAGCAGTTCCTTAATGGTATTGTAAGTAATTGATCATTTTCTCTCCTTATAGAGAAAGTGAGTGTCTTCAAGAGGCCAGTTGTACACATATGTAGAAAACTCAAGGGCAGAATCCACCACAATGGTGAATTTTGGTAAACAATGCACATCATCATACAATTCAAATTTAACTTTTTCTTCGACTGATTTATCTATCTTCCATGGGTCTAAGTTCTCTTTATCTATCTGCTTGAGCAAGCTTTTGAATTGGTTATTTGACCGAGAGCAAGTAGACAATGACATCAATGATGAAGTAGCAGTGGCTGTATCAACAGTGGAGTCCCTTTTGGTTAATGATCTTCTTGGCTGAGCTGGCTTGGGGTCCTCATGTGATTTCTTAGGCAAGTTTTCTGTTGGTATGCTACCCAATATCAGGACTTTTCTTGTAGGGTCTATAATCATAGAATTACGATAAAATAAAAAAATGCACCAAACTTGAGACAATTTTAAATTTGTATATTCGACCTTTGATCATACTTTAATTAAAGCCACATAAATATTCATTAACAAACGTGAATATTGATAAATCTGTACACAGTACTTACAAATAGATATGCATTCTGATTTAAAATGCCGCTCACAGAGGTGAATAGTATTTCCATCTATTTGATTCTTGAGGTCTGGGGTCATCTCTCTCGTCCTCGTTATCATCGAAGCCATTCTTCTCGAGCTTTTGTTTTTAAAGCCTTCGTATACTCACTATCACTTGCGGAAACCACTGGGATTTTAAATAAAGATATTTTCTTTTTCCCGCTGCTAAAGCAGCCGAAAAATGCGCAATTGGCACCGGGCATTGCTGCGAATCACATAATGAAACGCAAAAATGTATCCAATATCCAAAATATTGTATAAAAACGACGAGTTTTGAAGACAGGCAGACAGCCGATTAGAATTTGCGGTGAAAATCTATGCGCAATATGACCATACGCTGATACCTGATACACTCCGTATTCGCAGCTGTTCTCAATAAACGTACAGCTTCTTTTCGTTCCGTTTTGATGACAGATACGTGAACATTTATAACATTTTAATTCTCTTTGAATTACTCTCAATTAGTGTGGGTATTTTGACCATTCCATATCTGCTTTATTCTCGGCTTTTAATTTCTCATTTTTTTCGAACCCATGTTTCAAATAACAGTGTTTGCTTCTCAACGTACTTAATACGAACCACACGTACATATTCTTTGGATTTTACTTTGTGAAACAAAGCGAAATATGATATTTTATCTCGAAATTTGATCCGCTCCAATAGAAAAATATACAATGTTTACACGAAGCATACCGCTTCATGGTCACGTGACGTAAATAAACTGAGAACAATGACATGTTTTGTGACGTCATGGGCTAGCCTAACCATCTTAGTCTATTAACCGTGGTAAGACGTGATGTTCTCAATGCATGTTGATAAAAATTTAGTATCTATTTCCCTCTTAAACGTTGCCAAAGCAGTAATGGCTACGGATACGAAGACGAGAGATTGTCTCACTATTTTATATTCGATTTAAAGTCGCTGTTGTACAGATTTTTAGACTTTTTTGTGTTTTTTTAAAAGTCAACAGTCATACATAAGACATACTATACTGCAAATCATTTGAAAATTGTAAAAAATCGGTTTCTAGGAAGAAAATAGTCATCACAATTAACTTCATATTCTGGCTGGCTTTAATATTTTCTCTTCAGATGGCACTTCATCTTTGAACATGTAACACAGATTTGTTTGATTAACATCACTGACTTGGAAATACGGCGAGCATCTGCCATAAATATGCTAACTTTTTGCTATGAGAACATCACTTCTCAACCTATTAATTTCAATCAACTAATTGATTTAAATAAATAAAACTAGAAAATACATGCATGCAGAAACCCTCGCCTTGCTGACAAAACCATTGTATTTTCCGAACATGAAGTTCTAAAGTAGTTGTCATGGTAACACGATAATTTTTTAAGAATATTCTTACAAATGAAAAATCGCCTAAAAATATCACTTTTAATTACAAAATTATTAATTTCCCAACATAAATATATGTTAGGTATGTTTTTATACGTAATATAAGCCTCAATTTAAGGTAAAATTCAACCACAAACGCTTCGCAAAACGTTTTAAAGTCACTAGTGTTCATTATAAAACTAAACTGCCTTTTAAAATGGCTTTATCGATAAACTTTGAGTTAGCAATAAAATGATTTCAAATTCTGGCTTGCAAATAACTCAGTGCTTTCTTTTTTATTTAGAAATTCAATATCATAAAAAAGGGAATCAATATTAACGATACACTGAAAATTATATGCTGTTTGTTTAGTTGTTTCATATACGCAAAGGCCGTCGGGTTTTAAAGCCATTATAAAATCAATATTTAAAACAAACTTACCTTCGTTAACGTCGGCTCCCTTCTTTTAGACGATTCTTTCGCAGTTTCATTTTCAGAGAGCTTTTGAAATTTACAAAATCTTGCAAAAATGCGAGTAAAAATGAAATATATTTGCAAGAAATTTATCAATCATCAAATCAAGAAATGTGTGCTATTTCCCTGTCGTGATACATTCGTGCCAGTCGTTATAATGCAAAATTTAAATTGGACCAATCAGTGTCCGCTATTCATGACATTCCGCCATATTTTTGAGATCAGTGAGGATGACCACCCATCGTTGGTCACCCACGCCCGCGATATTTGATGAACTTTAGACTCCGCTAATGCTTTCGTTTCCCCGGGTGTAAATAGCCGGGGGGAATTAGTACCCTCGCACGGCGCTTCGCGCCGTCGGCTCGCGGATTAGCGACATCTACCGCTTTTGTGGGCGATTTTCAACAACAATCTTCCTAACTGCTTCGTACTGCTGTTCTTTCAACTTTAATAATGTCTTTTCTCCCAATTTTCTCCAAACCGAAACCAACGCTTCATGGAGCGCTTGATTTTTATTCATATTTTATACAATAAACCATATATTTAGTTGTGGCCAATCAAAAGCCAGTTTGATATGGATTTGGCCAGAGTCCCTCGTCGCGCTCGGTCGAACGCGCGTAAGAAGGGCTCTGGGTACGAGAATGGGGGTGACTGGTGAGCGCATCCTCGTCCCCAGGCCCAAGCTCGGGCGGCCCTCACAGTGGCCCTGGTTCAGGCTGTTGAGCAGTTGATTGTGATTGGCTCTTTTGCTCTAAAGGAATGTTGCGGGTGGGAAGGAAATGCGGGTTAACAATAAACAATGGCTGGCGCGAAGAGTGGCAATTATATAAACTGGTATTAAATTTATATCAGAGAATTTATATGGTAGAAATCAGATATTTACATGTAAATTTTTGCTTAAACTATGATATGGACAAATTCAAGACTGCTGGAAACCAACTACATGGATATTTGAAGGATTAAATACATTTGAAACGAATTGAATGATAAAGTTCAAGACTCGGATTATCAGTCACATTCACGACTATGGAAATCAATATATATTGTGTACCGTGTACGCAGATGTTACAAGATTATTGTGTAAATTGTCGCCCTCCACCTATCTGTTTGCATCAACGCAATTCTATACATTGTACTCGACAATTTGAAGAGTCTAATTTAGAATGTAATCTGCGAAAATTTAGTATTTATCAAGTACTTGATACACAAAGTTAATAATGGAAGCATTTTTATACATTGTACTTGACAATTTGAAGAGTCTAATTTAGAATGTAATCTACGAAAATTTAGTATTTATCAAGTACTTGATACACAAAGTTAATGGAAGCATTTTGTTCTGTTTGCACAATCACAATGCACAGTTCACAATGGAACCAGTGTTGTTTGAGAACCCCAAGCTCGACTGTTTAATACCCAAGGTGAAAAGCTGGCTTTTCACACACAAAATGTTGAAAGGATTTTGTAGATGGAATTAAATTATTTATCCAAACTATTGAATAAATTTATCCAAACTAGAATACAATCGGTAACAATTCATGATTATATTTAAGTAATTTAACCAGTTATGTGTCAAGTCTAAGCTTATTTCACCATAAGAAGCATTTTAGCTACCTGTTGCTAAAGTTTGTTTAATTTAACACTGTCACTGAAACATTTTATTAATAAATACACCCTTCTGGAAAGTACATCACTTTGACTGTTCTGGTTTTGCAGTATGACATATCATATCTTACAGCAATTTCTATAGGAAATTTATCCCAATTTCCTATAGGAATAGTAAATGACACACAATGTTGTTCATCACTCTTAATTTTTTAATGCAAAAAAATATATAAATATTAATAAATACTAATATTACAAATTAATATAAATATTTATACGAGAAATTGGTTATACTAAACATTACAGATCAATTATAGTTTTCACTTATGGTTTAATAACAAGTCAAGGGGAGGGGGGTGGCACTGAAGAGAAATGTTTTTTGTGGCAAAAATTTTGCTGACCCAACCATTAAAAAGTAAAAAAAAATGATTACCCAAACTCAAATATCAATTAAAAAATAAATACCCACCCCTTGCCAAAAATGTTACAAATGGTTACAATTCAGTTTCACACATGTCCTTTACCACTTCTGTGACATGAGTTTGATAACAGCTTGTGATATTTTCTGCAGTCTAAAGTTTCATGTTGTCTGCACATGTACTTTCTTTGGAGACACCATTTGCCTCCCAACAAATGGGGAAATTATCAAGATATAGTGACTCTGATTGATTCACATATTGTATTGACATATGACTGTTGACATCTTGCCATATTTGACATATTGCCATATTGATGACTGTTGCTTCTCAGTCTCCAATATTTCAGTGAGTCATGCTTTGGAAATGACAATAAATTTTTATCACCCAACCCATGAGTTTTCTTTTTCATTTACTCAACCTTTTACTCACTCAAAATTTTGTTCACCCAACCCTTTTCTCTTCGGTGCCACCCCCGCCAGAAATAATGACCGCTCCCTTAGACAAGTAAAAAAATAAAAAGTGCACACTAGGGCACATTGCAGCTTAATGGGTTAACTATTTTTTGGTTAACCCATTAAGTTGCAGAGCTTCACGTGCTATCCCCATTGACGAGTTAAATCGTCTGGTGTTAGACAAGTAAAAAAATAAGTAGGGTGCACTCAGGGACGTACACAACCGGGGGCGGGGGTCACTCCCCCCCCAGAGAAAACAATTTACGATTTTTAGAATGTCATTGTTAATTATTCTTTGGATATTTGGGACTTTTTCGGCATATAGGCCTTACTGCACCTCTGGTGAAAAAATCCTGTGTACGCCTGGTGTTTCTGTTTTTGACTATTGTTCTTGTTTGCTTTCTGCACTTTGCAACACTTTACAGTGTTGTTTTTGTTCTCATGTGTAGGCAAACCTCTGAGGCCTTACATCCATACTTTGTTGATACATAAGCTATAAAAAGACAAATAAATTTATTTAATAATGCATACCATTTTGATAGCTGCTGATAACAGAAAAATCCTGATTTCCCCAAGACCCCAACATGGCAAGTACACTTAATAGTAATTGCTTGATGCTAATTATATTTTCGATAAACTTTCCAACCAGTTGGCTTTTAGGCAACGGGTCTATTTACCGTCTATACATATTATGTACTGTATTAAATACAAAAATAACAAAATGAAGTATTTTTAATAGTTAATACACACCTTTCATTTCTTGATCATGGCGTAAAACAACTGCCTTAACACCCATGTGAGTTTTTAGCTTGTCTATTTGGTCGCCCACCACTGCATTTAACGGGAAAATCACGATTACAATTGTTTCTGGCATGACTGGCAACACAGCAGAAATATTTCTTTTTCTCGAATTAATGTAGTCGAACATGGACGGTAAAAGTTGGAATATATCAACGATTTAACATCCATTGCATTTACTATTTTACGAATATCTTCTTTCTGCTCTTCCTTTAACTTAATTTGAGTATTATTTGTTTTCGCAAGTGGAAAATACATTGTTTCTGCCTTCCTCGTACAGTTGCATTCATTGCGGTCGCCATGTTTTTAGGGAGAAATGCATATGCTGTGCGACCAAGCCTCTGCGTCGGAATTCCGACGCAGATCAACAGCCTGAACCAGGGCCACTGTGAGGGCCGCCCGAGCTTGGGCCTGGGGACGAGGATGTGGTGAGCGAAGGTAATACCCTGGGTACGAGGTTGAGCCTGACCCTGGGGACGAGTTTGCAATAATTTTTGTTTTTGTAAAGTGGAAACACCACATGGATTATTTTTGGGCGCCATATTTTGAGACTCGTGTTGTTTGCAAACTGTGTCTCATTTTTATGATCAGAAATTCTGTAAGAACCGAAGTATTATAAAGATTCAATAAAGAACGAATCGAGGGAACAGTTGGGTGATATTTTTATCGAAATTTAACCGTACGGGGAAAAGATCAAAAGCTGAAACCATGTCTACGAAATGCGAGGTTTGTAACAAGGTATTTTCAACGAAAGGAAATTTGGTGGCACACAAACGAACACATACTAGGGGGAAACCTTATGAATGTGATGTTTGCAACAAAAGATTTTCGCGGTCAGACGGCTTAGCTACACATGAAAGAACACACACTGGAGACAAACCTTATCAATGTGATGTTTGCAACAAAAGATTTTCAAAGTCAAGCCACGTTAGCCACTTTGCGGTTCATAAGAGAAACCACACTGGAGAAAAACCTTATGAATGCGATGTTTGCAACAAAAGATTTTCACGGTCAGGCGACTTAGCTGTTCATGAAAGAACACACACTGGAGACAAACCTTATGAATGTGATGTTTGCAACAGAAGATTTTCGCGGTCAGACGGGTTAGCTAGACATGAAAGAACACACACTGGAGACAAACCTTATGAGTGTGATGTTTGCAAGAAAAGATTTTCACACTCAAGCACTTTAGTTACACATGAAAGAACACACACTGGAGACAAACCTTATGAATGTGATGTTTGCAAGAAGAGATTTTCTGACCCAAGCACCCTAACTAAACATAAAAGAACACACACTGGAGACAAACCTTATGAATGCGATGTTTGCAACAAAAGATTTTCACAGTCAACCAACTTACTTACACATGAAAGAACACACACTGGAGACAAACCTTATGAATGTGATGTTTGCAAGAAAAGATTTTCACAGTCGAGCACCTTACTTAGACATGAAAGAACACACACTGGAGACAAACCTTATGAATGTGATGTTTGCAAGAAGAGATTTTCAGTGTCAAGTACCCTAACTAAACATAAAAGAACACACACTGGAGACAAACCTTATGAATGCGATGTTTGCAACAAAAGATTTTCACAGTCAACCAACTTACTTACACATGAAAGAACACACACTGGAGACAAACCTTATGAATGTGATGTTTGCAAGAAAAGATTTTCACAGTCGAGCACCTTACTTAGACATGAAAGAACACACACTGGAGACAAACCTTATGAATGTGATGTTTGCAAGAAGAGATTTTCAGTGTCAAGTACCCTAACTAAACATAAAAGAACACACACTGGAGACAAACCTTATGAATGCGATGTTTGCAACAAAAGATTTTCACAGTCAACCAACTTACTTACACATGAAAGAACACACACTGGAGACAAACCTTATGAATGTGATGTTTGCAAGAAAAGATTTTCACAGTCGAGCACCTTACTTAGACATGAAAGAACACACACTGGAGACAAACCTTATGAATGTGATGTTTGCAAGAAGAGATTTTCAGTGTCAAGTACCCTAACTAAACATAAAAGAACACACACTGGAGACAAACCTTATGAATGCGATGTTTGCAACAAAAGATTTTCACAGTCAACCAACTTACTTACACATGAAAGATTACACACTGGAAACAAACCTTTTGAATGTGATGTTTGCAAGAAGAGAATTTCATGCTTGGCCAACTTAACCAAGCATAAAAGAACACACACTGGCGAAAAACCTTATGAATGTGATGTTTGTAACAAGAGATTTTCACAGTCAAGCACCTTACTTACACATGAAAGAATACACACTGGAGACAAACCTTATGAATGTGATGTTTGCAAGAAGAGATTTTCATGCTCGGCCAACTTAACCAAGCATAAAAGAACACATACTGGAGACCAACCTTATGAATGCGGTATTTGTAGGAAGAGATTTTCACAATCAAGTCACTTAGCTACTCATAAAAAAACACATACCAGAGACAAACCAGGTTAAGAATGTCACGTTTGCAACAAAAGGTTTTCAGAATCACACAGTTTAACGAGACATAAAATATCAGCACACAAGGGAAATCAGAGTTTTGAG